CGGCGCCGGCCGGAGCTGGATCGGGCCCGGGCCCGGCGGGAGCGGCCCCTGGAGCGCCCGTCCGGCGGCCCCGCGGCTGCTGCCCCCCAGTGAAGAAAATGCGGGGCGGCCGCTGAGGGCTGAGGGCTGCCCGCGCCCCGCTCCGCTCCCCGCCGCGCTGCTTGCTGTGTGCGAACCGATCGCAGCGCGACGAGGCCAGCTTTGCCTTTTTCGGAGGCAGAAAAGCCTGTAAAATAAGCACGAATAGCGGCTGAGTAGCAGCGAGAGGTACTTCGGGGGATGTGAGATCCTCTGGCGCCGATAATGTTGCACTGCTCTGTTCCTTAGTGTGGGAATCGTTTTGGTTAATCAGATCTGGAATGTCCCACTAGGCATTTCACTTTTCTTACCTGTTTGCTCAGATACATTACTGGCAAACGGAATTTTAAATGCGTTTGATTGCATTCTTGATAAAGCTTTTTTACTCATGCATGTGGTAGAGTTCCTACGGCTGGAGGTTTTCTAGATGCAATTTGACAGGACTACAAGGTCTCCTTTAGATTCCCTTCCCAGCAGCTCAAGACCTGCTTGGAAATGAGTTGCTAAGCAAATAGAGAGACCCTTTTACAAATTCACAGAATCACAGAATTGTTCCATTTGGAAGGCACCTCTGGAGATCATCCAGTCCAACCGCCCCAGCCAAGGCAGAGTCACCTGGAGCAGGTGACAGGAACACGTCCAGGTGGATTTGGAATGTCTCCAGAGAGGGAGATTCCATGCCCTCCTTGGGCAGCTTTCCAGTGCTCTGCCACCCTCAATGTAAAGAAATTCTTCCTCATGTTGAGGTGAAACTTCTTGTGTTTTAGTTTGGCCATTGCTCCTTGTCCTGTCACTGACGAGAGTCTGGCACATTGTGCAATCCAGCAGGAAGGCTGGATGAGGGAAGTGCCATTCAGCCTCCACTCCTGCCCCTGTCTTCTGTGTACAAAGATTTCAAACCAAAAAATACCTTAAATTCTTTACTAACACACCATAAATGTTGCAGTTTCACCCAAAAGCAAGTGAATATTTGTGAGGTAAGTTATACATAGCTCCTACTGTACCAGCACTAAGTATTGTTTTTCTTTTCAGTCCTAAAAGCACAACACACACATTAAGCATTGTTTTCTAAAGCAAAAATAAAAGAGAATGTAACAAATACTACATAAGGAAAAGAAAATCAACATAACAATGGCAAGATCCTTTTTTTAAACTGTTTTGTGATGACTTCATGCCCTAGGCCAGCCAGTAAATCTTCCTGCCAAACGACTTTTTGGGAACCAGGTCCTCAACCTGGAGGCGCTGAAATGACCCCCTGATTTTGTCACACACTTGCCACCAGTTTTGTGGCACTTGTGCTTCCGTGGAAAACGTGGCCCTTCAGCCCCAAACACTGTGTTGAAGGGACTGGATGGTTTTAGGGACAGGGGGATAGATAATGCCTGGATTTTCATGAAGCCCTTGCCACCTGCAGCTCCTCTGTGCTGTTCCTTGCTGAGGGAGATCGAGTCGTGGTGTGAGACTGAGGGCAGCCAGGAGCAGGGCCCTCAAGGTGACCTTGGCCCCTGTGAATCAGCCATGCTGAGTTTTTCCTTCCTGCTTTTCCATTCTCCTGGTTTTACAGCCTCTGCTGCCCCTGGTGAGAGGTTGGTCATGACAAGGGAATGTGCTGAGTCTGCCATGGCCACTGTCCCCTCCTGTCAGAAATGAGGTGCAGTGGCCAGCACACCTCACCTTCTCACCCCCTTCCTGACATGAGCAGGTCAGTATTGATGCCTGTGCACGTGCTGACACCCCGGGTAACATGGCACTCACATTTTATTGACCCCTCTGACTCTGCCTCTGTGCTCCCTGGGCCAGCAAGTGTTCCTCCATACAGCATAAAGTATTTTTTCCTTCCCATTTGAAGGAAGCAAAGAGGTGGCAAGAGGAGGCCAGCGCTTGCTGGCAGGAGCCCAACCCCTTGCCTGTTATACAAGTGCCTCCAGTACTAGTGGGGGGGGGTGGAGGATTTAGTCAAATTGAAACCAAGCAAACACATTAATCCCATCCCCCTTTTAGCCCTCTGCTCCCCAGATTGAGGAGTCCCAGCCACTCAGTGCCTGCTCCTTTCCAGCACTGCCTCACTTGCATTTCCCTGTGTTTTGTCTCAGCCATTTCCTGCTGGGTTCCTCTGGGGATCCTGGTGAAAAGACAGCAAGCTGAGTTCCAGGGGCTTTGCTGTCTCTGTTCTGCTGCTCCCTGCGCTGCTGCCTTTCCTCTGGAGTGCTCCGTGCTGCTGCTTTCCATGAAACGTGTCCTGTGCAGGGGGAATGGGGAAGGGGTTGGAACATCCCCATGCCTATACATGCCACTGTGCAGGCACCACCAGTTAGAACAGATTATTTTTTTGGAAAAGCATTGCCTAAATGAAGCCAAGGGCTGACACGCACACTGTCAGACCCTTCCCTGCTTTGCAGTCTCTGGATCACTCCAGGGGATGCTGGGTGGGCTCCACATCCCTCCCCCCAGGCTGATGCTGAAGACTCTCCATTCCCCGTCCTTCCCACCCTCCCTGCACTGGCAACGTGACATTTCCAGAGTCTGGGCTTTGCTGCCTATGTGTTTGGGTTACTTTTCTTGTAGTACTTTTCCTAAATCAACTTGCAAACCAGTTCCCTCCTTTCACTATCGTTTCCTTGCTTCAAATCAGCAACACTGTTACGGAATGCGGGAACCCGCCAGTCATGAAGCGCGCCTGAAAAAAAGCGCACAGCCACAGAGTCGCGGAAACACAGCCAAAAAAAAAAAAAGGAAGTTAATGTTCCCTGAAGGCTCCCGAGAAAGACTGCGGGAAGGAAAACTACAGCTCCCAGCAGGCAGCCGGGAGCCAGGGAAGGGCAGAGTTCGCCGTCACGTTTCCAGCGGAGGATTCAGGGTGTGCGCTGGTGTCCTGCCACCAAAGGGCCGCTGGGACGGAGGGCAAGGGGAAAGGCCGGCGCTGGCCTCCTCTTGCCACCTCTTTGCTCCTGATCGCCGCCCTGACCGGCTCCGAACCTGCCTGGGTAAGGCTCCACTTTGTTCTGCTGACTTCCTTCTCCTGGCGGAGCGTCAGCGCCGGGAGCAGGGAGGGGAGGGACGAGCGCCGGCGGCAGGGCAGCCGCTGCACCCCCACAGCCCCGAACCGTGTGCCGGCGACCCTGCTGGGGGCGAGGTGCCCCCTGTGCCGGAAAGCTGCTGCTTTCGGAGCCTGGGCTGGAGGTTTCTGCACACAAAACCGCACGGACCGCTCTCCAGCGGGGAAAGTTTCTTGGGAGTTTTCCATCCGCCTCAGTGAGCGCGGCTCCGTCCGTGCCCTGTCCCGAAGTGCTTTCCCGGGGGAATCACGGCTGGAGGCTGCAGGCTCAGGCTGCGCTGCGGGCCCGGCACTGCTGCGGGGGGGTTCTGCCGGATCGCCTCCCGGCCGGGCAGGCTGGGGACAGCAGCAGCAGCAGGGTCACTGCTCGTGTCGGCCTGGCTGCCGGCTGCCAGGTGCCCAGAGGCTCACGGGGCAGCCTGCCGAGACCCAGACTCCAGGCCTGGCGTCCGTGGGGGTGAGACAGCAGTGCCTCACCCCCCTGGCATGTCCCAGGATAAATGCGGTCTGCCTTAACCCCTGCACTGACGGGAAGCTGCTAGCTGACAGCCCGTGGGCTGAAGGTTCACGGTTAGGGGCGACATCCGCCCATTTTCACCTTGGGAATCACGAAGGAGGAGCTTCCTCCACCGTGATTCACGGCTCCCGTGTTTCTGCTTATCAGGTTTGCGGGCGTGCGGCTGGAATTGGGCGGACCGGGACGGGATGGTGGCTGTGAGGAGGGCAGGACTCGGTCAGCCTCTGGAACAGCAGGGAGATACAGCTCCCTATGAACGTCGGAGAAAGTGAAACCAAACAGTGCCAGAGCTCCAGGGGAAAAGGAAAATGGAAGAGAATCCAAGCATGGATCTGCTTGGAGGTAAGTGAATCCTTAGCTTTACTCCATCTGCTGGGAAGATCCCTTTGCTGCCAGTTTTCAGCAGTGACATGAGAAACCTGTGCAGAAGAAAAATAAACCAGTAAAAGAATCCCATCTTTTCCAGGCTAAGGAAAGCAAGTTGCCATAATTTTTTAAAAGGTGAAAGATGAACAAGTTACTTTCAGTTTCAGATTCTGATCTGCAACAGGTTTAGACTGTGTCCCAAGATGGCAGTACAAGGAATGCTGAAGAGAGAGATCCGGACTGGAAGAACTTTCTTCCCCGTATCCTGGTGCTTCCCATCTGCAGATGCTTAAAGAATAAGCCAGTTTTCCAGCACCTGTGGTTGGAAAAACTCTGAAAGAGACAGGGCAGGGGTAGTTTGTGCCCAGCTTGAACAGCAGGATATCTCAAAGTTCCTCGTGTTTCAGTTTCTTCCGTGTACTTACATGCTGTGGGGGCCTGGTTATGACTAGTACCTACAAATGTGTCAGTGATAAAGTGATGCCATCACCAGCTCAGGTCTGTCCCAGATAGTCAGAAGTGTCACTGGAATAATCAGCAACAAAGAATGTAAAAATCATGTTCTGACAAGTGACAAGTGCACTTTTCTTTGTTTTCAAATTAGAAGGGAGTTCCTCACTCTTTTAATCAGTGTTTATTCCAATTATAGCATAATCATTTATGTAGTGCTTGATCATTCATAAGCATTTTTTCACAAATAGTACCTGAAATTTGAGCTTCACTTTGTTTCTGTGAGAGTCAGAATATGTCACAAACTCTGTTCAGTTGCAGAATCTCTCTATTGAATTATGCTCCAGTGTTTGTTTCTAATTAAATGTTGCCATAGCTCTTTGGGAGAGCAGCTCCAGCACAGAGACAGAGCATGAGCAAAATTATTATTTACATTCAGACAGATGCTTGAAGTGCATTGGCATAACTGTACTCAACAACAGCCTTAGGAATTATTCAAATCCATCACTGTCTGTGAAAATCCACTATCTGTGGAAGATGTGGTAACTTATTTTACCACTGAAGGAAGGAATTGCGTGCCATTCCCACCTAGGACATAAGCTGGAATTGAATTAGCTTTAGCATGGCAGCTGTGAGGTCTGTGGTTTGGATTTGTGGACTCAGAGAAAAAAATGTTGAAAGCAGAGCAGTGTTTTGGCTATTGCTGAACACAGCATCAAGGCTTTCTGCCCCTGCCCAGCAAATACCCTGGGGTGGGCAGAAGATTGGGCAGGGACCCAAGGTGGGAAAAGGGTTGTTAAACACAAAATAACATCATGCTCAGCAACAAAAACTGGGCCAAAGGAAGAAAGGGAGAAAGGGGATGGCTTCCAAGGGTGGCCATTGCTGGGAGACTGGCCTGGCATCAGTCTGCTTGCAGGAGGTGGTGCATCCTGATTGCCTCCTTCCCTTCACTCAGCTGTCTGAATCTCAACCCAAGAGTTTTCTCACTTCTGGTCACTCTGTTCTCTCCCATCTCACTGGGGGTAAATGTTTCTGCAGTGCCAAAACTGGGAGTTGTGCGGGTGGTGGTAAAGCACTGGGCATTCTTGACTCCTGTGTGGCTCACTGGGCTTGTGAACTCTGATCCCAACAGCTGGACCAGCCCAGGGTGAGGTGGGGAGCACAGCAGAGTGTCCTGTGCACCAAGAGGCCACCCAGGAAACACCTGGGCACCAAGTGACAGGCAGGTGGCCTGAGACATCCTGCAAACCAGAAGAGGGCTCTTCAGTGTGTGAATCAGCTGCTGATGGGGGAGAGACAACACTCCTGGGTTCAGCTGGTCCCACACTAGAAGAGAAATCTGCCCAGGAAATTGAAGTATTGCCAGAAGAATCTGACAAGACAAGAGAAGGTGTCTCAGAAAGACCCCTGGAAAAACAGGACTTGGATGAAGGTCAGTCTCTCCCCACCCTTGGGCCTGATAACTTGGGCCTTGGCTTGGAGCAGGCAGAGCAGGAGAAAGGGTTGTTGGTTCTTGGGCTAAAAGAGACTAAGTGTAGGTCTGTGAATTTTATTCCCCACAGCTGGGCTGGGCCATGAGAATGTGGAAAGCAAAGGAGACAGCCCTGTCCACCAGGAAACACGGGAGCACCAGGAGACAACTGGGCAGCATGAAAATCTCTGCAAAGCAGAGGAAGATGCCTCACCAACAAGCAAGGCACGGAGCTCTGACAGTGAAATGACCCATTTGGATGTGACTGGTGTGGAAGATGTCCCTAGAGGCAACTTGGCAGAGAGGAGCAGTGCCACTCTTCCAGACTGGGAGCCAGAGGCACCCAGAGAGCAAGAAACACAGGAGAGCAAGTCCCAAGGCACATTAAGGAAAAGACCAAAAGGTGAGCTGGTGGCTGCATACTGCCCATAGGCACTAGAACAATAGTTGGGTGAGATCTCTCATAGCTGTTGTCACTTCCCTGAAGTCAAACAGCCAAGAAGGTGTAAGAAATTAATTGGCTTCTCTTTCTCTTGCCTTTGCTCCTGTTGTGCTTTGAAAGGCATGAAGCCACACTGCATTCTGCACTGTCTTTCTCCTTGCCCAGCCCAAGAGGAGAGAGCCAAGACTCAGGGTATATTAACCCAAAGCAGTATTTCCTCAGCTGGGAGCTCCTGCTTTGCTTACTACAGCTCCATTTACCTGTTCCCTCAGCAGTGAGTGGCACATTTCTTTTCTCCTGTTGCAGGGGACACAGCCCCAAGCCCAGAGACTCTGTCTTCCCTGCAGAACATCACCACCCAAAACACCGAGCAGGAGAAGGCCAAAAAGTCCCTCCTGTGGAAAGGTGAGGAAAAGAAGCTTCCCTTGCATGTTACTCATCGACCAGAAGGCACTGATCCTCCAGGAGCAAGTAATAAAGCAAATTTAATTACTCTTCTCTCTCGAGACCTTTCACAGCCTCTTCTGAGGGTTTGAGAGAAAAAACATCCCCTTCAATACAGGCTCAGTTCAAGCCTGTAGTGGCAGCTTCCCCTCCAGCTCTTCAGCCTCAAAAGCTGGCATATTGTGGTCATCATGCTGTGAGTGCCCTGGGATGTCCTGGGAGGTCTGGGGGCTGCTGTGGTGAGCGTCCCCCTCCCCAGCCCTGCTCTGTCCTGGGGCTCTGAGCAGGGACAGTGATGCTGATCTGCATCAACACATTTCTCCTGTTAGAAGGAGACTGTGCTTTGCCATGGAGAGGGACACAAGGCATTGTGTCAGGACCTTGCTGCCTTCTGTTTTCTGAGCAGAAGCACGGTGGCCTTTGTTCACTCACAGCATGGAGGAGGGCAGTGAAAGCAGCACTTTACCTGGGTCAGACACCTCCATATGTGGTGCTCTGAACAGCCACAAACCCTGAAGAAAACAGAGGAGGGGGAAAGAGAAGAAAGCTTGTGGGCAGCTGCAATTTCCTCAGGAAGGTTTGCACAATCCTTGCCCTCGTCCCTGGAGCTGCAGCCCCCTCACCTGGCACACTGGAGTGGGAATCTCACAACACAGAGCCAGCAGCCCCTTCACTTTTCCTGGCCAGCTTGCTCCACTTTCCTAGTGCAGGGGGAAGCTCTGAGAGGGCAGAAATAGCCATTGTAGCTACTTTCCAGCTTGTCACTGCGGGTCACTTGGGGCTGACTCCTGTTCCCCGTGTCGTGTCTCTCCCTGCCGCACAGGGCTTTTCATCGTGGGCCTCACAGTGCTGTGCTTGTGCATATTCTGCTTCGGCAGCCCGACCTCCAGCTCCCAGCAGCCCCGCAAGAACCCCGCTGTGGAGGCGTTCCTGTCCCAGTTCGACCAGCTGCAGCACAGCTTCCCGGGCCAGAGCCCCGACCTGTGGCTTCGCGGGCGCAAGTTCCTGCGGAAGCACCTGAACGCGTCCCGGCCCACGCAGCCGGCCATCGTCATCCTCGCGGCCGCCCGCCGCGGCGAGCGGACCCTGCGCTGCCTCAGCGCCCGCCTGGCCGACTGCTACTCGGCCGCCCTGCACGGCAGCACGGTGCAGATCGAGGGCAGGGACAAAGCCAGGCTCCACAGCGACCGCGCCAAGCTGGAGGTGGACTCGGAGCTGAGCGCGGCGTTCCAGGCCGGGGGCCGGGCCGCGGTGGTTCACCGCTTCGAGCTGCTGCCCGCGGGGGCCACCCTCATCTTCTACAAGTACTGCGACCACGAGAGCGCCGCCTTCAAGGACGTGGCCCTGCTGCTGACGGTGCTGCTGGAAGAGGATGTGCTGGAAAGCCGCATCAGCCTCCAGCAGGTGGAGGAGAGGGTCCGTGACTTCCTCTGGGCCAAGTTCACCAGCACCAGGAGCCCCAGCTCCTACGACCGCATGGACTCCGACAAGCTGAGCGGGCTGTGGAGCCGCATCTCCCACCTGGTCCTACCCATACACCCGGTGCAGACCATCGAGGAGGGGGGCTGCTATGCCAAAGCCTAGGGACACAAGTGGCCAGAGCCTGAGGAGGGTTGGAAAGATGGTCCTGGCTGGCTCTGGTACAGGCAGAGGCACAACTGGTGTTACTTCTCTTCAATTTGTTTCTTGTAGGTTCCTGGGAAGAGTTTGACAGGTAGAAGTTGATCCAGGACATTTGGGCAGCTGAGTCCTGGAGGTGATACACACACTTCCTTCTGGCAGATGGGAACAGGGGGTACTTTAGAGTTCCACAGGAGAACATCAGCATGTGGGGAGGCAGGAGGGAAAACAGGACCTGGCAGGTAGCCTTTCTATCAAGAAACAGACAAAC